TCTCTTCTCTTCTCTTCTCTTCTCTTCTCTTCTCTTCTCTTCTCTATTCTATTCTTAAACTAGTGCTCAAAGTACTGGAAATAAACAAAATAAGCAGGAGGTTTTAATTCAAGAAGACAATATGATTCAACTTGGTGGAACAAAAGGAAAAATAGCAGAACAAAATCACCAAGACAATCAGTATTCCACCAGGAGATTATCAATATGAGATTGGGAAAATGTACTGTAATTTGAGGTGGACAGAAATTAGGTCCCCAAAGAAAACCTATTCCTGACCTGAAATCTTCAGAGACAGATAAATAGCATCCAAAACTGAAACCTTTACTTCTTGGTGTCCGGGTAAGCCTCTACGCATTACTTTTTAGAAATTATAGAGAAAAAGTGATGTTATCAGGCATTTGGAGAACAAAGGTTGCCCTTTATCTTCAAAAAGGAGATTCTGGTTAACTATAAAACAGTTATTTCTAACCCTGCTATCTGTGAGGTTTCTGAGCAGAAGACAAAAATGACCAATCAATCTGAAAATAGTTACTACTTGAAGTCAGCCGATTTGTCAATAACAATGCCAGATTAACCTCATCTCCATTTTCATATGGGAATTTCCTTAGTATATTGTTGTTAATACTGTGTCAATAAACATATCTCGATTCCAACAGAGCATACAGTGAAGCACCCCATGGCAAAATTATAATATTATATGTTACGTATATTGGGCACGGGAGCGAGTTTAATTAACTTTCGTTGACTGAAGCTAAACAGGTTTTAGCATGCAAAATACACGGGCAGGATTGGTCTAAGAGGGCACCCCATGTTTTCATTTCTAAATACTGGCTGGAACGCATTGGACTGTTAGTGTGCTTCAGGTTTGTGATGAATAGACATTCAACAACTGAATTGCCCCGGTGCTACACCTATAGAGGCAGTAATAATTCCATCTGCTGTATTGTTAACACCGAGGGGAGTCATGTCTGCTTCTGTATGATCCCCTGCAGAGCTACCAGCTGGCTTACTGTGTATAAAACAGAGAGTGCGTTGCTTGTTACCGATAGTACAATAAAGGGCATTGTGTGCAGAGTGACTTTATCAGTGAAAGAGCAACTACAATAGCACCTCAAGTACGTGGTACTACAAAAGAAAGAAAGTCTCAGTGAGAAAGTGTGACTTCTAAACTGTGCCGAATCCTAGGTCCTCTGGATTCTAAATGAAGCATTGCTTTCAACACAGGTAGTCCTTGGCTTATGACTACATTTGAGCCAAACATTTCTGATTTCTGATTTATTAAGTGGAGTTTGCCCCATTTTATGACTTTCCTTGCCATGGCTGTTAAGTGAATCACTGTAGTCGTTAAATTGGTCAAACTGCTGTTAAATGAATCTGGCTTCCCCGTTGACTTTGCTGGTCAGAAGGTAACAAAAGAGCATCCCATGATAACCCAGGACACTGCAGTCAGGGCCGGATTTTCCTATCGGCTAACTAGGCTCCAGCCTAGGGCCTCAAGATCAAGAGGGGCCTACATTCAAATT